AGTGTTGAAACTGATAATAAGCAGTTGATGTGTTTGATAAATAAGTGCTGATAAGCGATTCTTTAGTTAAAATGACTAAAATACCCTTGATTTTTTTCAAAAGATTATAAATTAAAAAAAATTGTAAAGAAAAGAATTAACAGTGAATATGAAATGAAGAGAAAGTCATGAAATTTATTTTGGGAAAAAAAATATTTTGTGAATTAGAAAAATTTATTAAGGATAAACTAGTATAAGTGTTGGTCAAACTAAAAGTGCTTATAAGCTGAAAAACCATAAGTTGTGAGTGACCAACTTATGACTGATTTTAGTTTATAAGCATTTTGAATATTTACCAAACTCGTAGATAAGTCAAAAGATACTTATAACCCAATTTGACCAACTTATAAACTTAGCCAAACACCTTTAAAGCTTAGCCAAACATTCTAAATCAATGCCTAAATTCTTTGAATCTATTTTGCCCGACGCTTCAGTTTATACCATTGCAATTAACCGAACATATTAAAGAGGGGGCCTTAAAAAGGACTTTTAAGGTGAAAGTTTTTAGCTTTTTTTCATAGAAGAATTAACCTTAATAGTTTCTCACCTAATTGTTTACATTAAAACATAACAGATATATTACATATGTATAATCATAAAGGAAAGTAAACAGTAAATATGATTGATTATTCACGTAAAGATTCTTTTTTCATAAACTAGTGAAGACGACCATTTTGCATGGCTGGCCACCAAAGGAATTGGTCTTGGCGGAATGCCCCGTTCTGATGTCCTCGCGTTTGATTTGAACACCATAGTTTTTTAATTTTTAAAACTTGAAATTCTTGTTTGGTGGTGAAAAATAGAAGTTAATAATCAATTATTATTAAATTCGTTTGAATGTTAATAATTTGTACTTAAATATTTAGTTCAACAAAAAAAATTGTGATTTATTATAAAAAAAAAATCGAAACACCATTATTGGACCTTAGAAAATACTGAAAAAGACAAAGTGGACCTTTTTTATTTAGTGTAATTGGGGATTATTTGTATTGGTAATTGGAAAATATGTTTCAAACTTGAGATCATTTAGAGAAAATTTGGGGTGGTTTGATCGAAATTGAAATTACAAATTCAAAGAACACTTCGTTAAAATAACCCAAAAAAGTATGTCAATCGGGTTGACTTCGACGAACAACTAAACAGACATGTAAAGTAAATATAGCATCAAATCTACCAACATGACAAAGAGATCCCTAAGAGAAAGCATGACAATAGTGTAGACTTTGGTGAATTTAACAGATAGGTAACAATAACATTAACTCTACCAATTAAGTAGAAAATCTTGAAGGGAAAAAGTATGACAATTGGATAGAGTTCGATGAATAATTTAATCCAGTAGAGAAGCCCTTGAAGAGACGCGTGCAGGTTCAAGGGTTATTTTTAAAATACAGTTAATTTGGGAATATTCTGCTAAGATTAGTCCCTTGCGAGGCCATTCCTGTCAATCTCCCAACGAAGACCCAATTATAGCCTATGACATAAAATGGAGGGGGGGGGGGGATTTGCAACCGTACCATATATTCGTGCCACCTTTTAACTTGTACCCTATTTTTAAAAACTATTGATTTGGTAGCCAGTTGACAAAAAATCCGTAATAATATGGCAATTACACCCCTGATAATATTAACATTAGCATGCTACTTTGGAGATGACCTCATTCGCATTAGCATACTGTAAAACAAACCCTGATAAAACGTAGCATCATGCTAACGTTTGGAGATGACGTTGCTTTACAGTACCAAGGGTTATTCATTAGCATGCGAGATGGTGTAAAATTTCAGCCAATTACAATATCAGTTGAAGTTGTTTTACATTGAAGCTAAAACTTCATGCTAATGCATGCTGGAGTTATTTATCATGCAGTCAACAGTTTTGTCATGAGTTTTATTCAAAATTCCAGTCTAAACATGCTGAAGTTATTTAATTCATTTGCTAAAACTTTAGACTAAACATGCTGAAGTTATTTAGTTTATTTGCTAAAACTTCAGTTTAAACATGCTGAAGCTATTTAGTTCATTTGCGTAAACTTCAGATTAAACATGCTTAAGTTTTTGTCTTGCAATATGTAATTTTCTAATGAGTTTTTGCTAATGCATGCTGAAGTTATTTAGTTCATTTGCGAAAATTTCAGACTAAACATGCTTAAGTTATCTAAAACTTGAGACTAAACATGCTTAAGTTATCTAAAACTTGAGACTAAACATGCTTAAGTTATCTAAAACTTGAGACTAAACATGCTTAAGTTATCTAAAACTTGAGACTAAACATGCTTAAGTTATCTAAAACTTGAGACTAAACATGCTTAAGTTATCTAAAACTTGAGACTAAACATGCTTAAGTTATCTAAAACTTGAGACTAAACATGCTTAAGTTATCTAAAACTTGAGACTAAACATGCTTAAGTTATCTAAAACTTGAGACTAAACATGCTTAAGTTATCTAAAACTTGAGACTAAACATGCTTAAGTTATCTAAAACTTGAGACTAAACATGCTTAAGTTATCTAAAACTTGAGACTAAACATGCTTAAGTTATCTAAAACTTGAGACTAAACATGCTTAAGTTATCTAAAACTTGAGACTAAACATGCTTAAGTTATCTAAAACTTGAGACTAAACATGCTTAAGTTATTTAGTTCATTTGCTAAAACTTCAGACTAAACATGCTGAAGTTATTTAGTTCATTTGCGAAAATTTCAGACTAAACATGCTTAAGTTTTTGTCTTTCAATATGTAATTTTCTAATGAGTTTTTGCTAATGCATGCCGAAGTTATTTAGTTCATTTGCTAAAACTTCAGATTTATCATGCTTAAGTTATTTTGTTCATTTGCTAAAACCTCAGACTAAACATGATTAAGTTATTCAGTTCATTTGCTAAAATAAAACTTCATGCCAAAACATGCTGAAGTGTTGTCCTGCGGTCTACAGTTTTGTCAATAGTCCTGAAGGGCAAAATTGTCTTTTTAAAACGCTTTTAACAAAAAAAATGGATACGGATGCAAACGAAAAAATAAAATGGGTATAAGTTAAAATGGGACGACCAAATAGGGCGTCCGATGCAATTTTTACCATAAAACGGGCTTAAAGGTCCAAATGTGCAATTGCGATTTGCGACCCCTTAACTCGGCCCAAAGGCCCACAGACTTGATCAAAGATTACATAAATCTTCGTAACAACTAACTGTCCTTATAATAAGAGCAGCGCGGTAAATGTTGGCGCCAAGTTTCGCTCCAAAAAGTATTTCCCTCCATTTCAATTCACATTAAGCCGCTATTTATAAATTCAGAAGTAATGGCCAACGAAATTCATTAAATCTCATTTCGATTTATAGGTAAACTATACTTTTTACATTTACATTTTGGTCTGCATTCTGCAGCATGGTAGAAGCCCTAGGACCAGCAAAATTCTATGGTAGCAGCCTCCCTAGGCCACGGTTTTACAAGCCCAACGAAGAGCGAGTAGACCCACCAGTCTCCGTTATTGATCCATTAATGTCATGGGCGGAGGAAGCCCACTGGTCCATGGGTGGTGTGAGCTTCACGCGCCACCGTCTTCAGGGCCGCATTGAAGGCAACATCGAGAAGCTACGCACCGAGCTTGAAAAGGTCGAGAAGAAGACCGGTAAAGAAACCCCTGAAAAGGGTTTGACTCCGTTTCCTGACAGTCCATCGCCTCCTCCTGCTCCGTATGTATTGAAGCGGAAGAGGTTTTTGATCGATGAATCTGAAGTAAAGGAGCGCGTGGGGAGGAAGCTGGTAGATGAGTTTGATAGGGTTGCGGAGGAGAGTGGATTGAAGTGTGGTGGAGCTGTGGAGGCTGTTGGTAGGAGGACGAGGAGCCGGCGGAATGAAGATGCTGTGGCTGAAGTGGTAATTCATGTGAAATCTAAGAGTGAGAAATTGAAGGAGGGTTTGAAGGTTGGATCGGGGCCAAGAACTTCGCCGAGATTGTTGAAACGTAGGTCGCCTTGAAGGTGTTTGATAATTTGTGTCATTGACTGGGATATGTAGAGTACAGTACTATAGTTTGTTTTTATTTTCTTTTACCTTTTTAATGAAAAATTGGATTGCTGGTGTCAGCTAAATCTTATTGAAACTACAAAAACCTTAGTTTAATGAGAAGAAATTAAGTTGCTTTGCATCTTGTATTATCTGTGCCATGATATATGGTGGCAGTACTTGTAGCTAAATGTAGCATTGTTGTGATTGTGGTTGATCCTGCCATCCTGCTGTTGTCTCTGATAATTGTTCTAAATGATGAACTATTGCTTTAATTGGTTATGGGTAATTCACTCGTTTTAATTGGTCAGCCTTGTACTGAAGTCGAGATCTCAAACAAGATCTGCAAAATATTTATATATAGATATTGCAGAAAAAATTCATCCATAAGTACTGGAGATATTTAATTATCAATTGGATAGTAAATGCATCATGTAGCTAGTACTTGCCATTGCATTGCTCTTTGCTTTGGTGCATTGCTGTTTATTGGTTGCTATGTTTGGCCTGATTAAGTTAGCATACCATTTACATAGCTCTGATTATCAAGTGCTGGCCTGCTCTAGAAACCTTAGAAAATTTCAGAAATCAAGACTTATTTTGTTACTGACCTCATATGTGCAATTGAGATAAACCATTGGTGGGATGGTTGAGAATCTGTCATTCTTAACTAGAGGTTTATCCCTCTCAATGGCCTTAGTGCGAATTTGAATTAGTCGGGTCAATGCATTTTGGATACTGGATGCCTAAATGAAACAAAATATTCTTGCTGCTCAGCAAAATTGAAGAGGCTGTATAAGTTATTCATTAACCTCCACGGAAATGCTAAGCATCCACTCACTTATGGTTACAAATGGTCAATATTGCTTAATATTCTGATTAATCACATACTAAAAGAATTCACAATTTTAGCAGCTACTGTTGCAACAGCATGAAGATTAATCTCCCCTGGCTCGATTCATCACTGCTAATAAAAGAGTCATCTTCCTTGCTAATACTATTGGATTGAGACGTTTCTAAATGGACCAACTAAATTGAGATTAAGACATAATTGTTGTTGTCTACAATAGTTACAGATATTTTGGAAACAAATAATACTGTAGATAAAGTCATACTATTATTATTACTGGCCTCCAAACAAGAAAAAAAAACGATCCGCAAATAAAATGCAAATTTATCCAACAAACCTGCCAATCCAAATTTCCAAAAGCACGCTTACCAATAACATATCGCCAGCTGTCACCAGCCTTCTTCCCCCGTGAATCTAGCATTAGGGTTTCTAACACTCTCCATTCCCAATCCCAGATCTCTTATTTCTCTGAATTCTGTCTCTTTCTCAATTCCCCTCGATACTCTCAATACATGCATACAAATGTGTCTTTATTTATAAACCAACTTGCACCTTACTTCTCTCTGTAAAAATTGCAATTTTGTACAAAACCATGATCTAGTGCTTTGAGTTTCACTTCCCAATTTTAGATCACGTGAATATGCAGCAAACTTTTGAGCCATGAATTCACTGTTATATAAGTAGCTGAGATGAGTTTTGAGGGTTTTAGTCTGAATTCTTGTTAAAAATTCAATCTTTTGGGAAAACAGAAGATAAATAGCTTCTGAATTTGTAAAATCTGAAAAGGGTTTTTTGAGTTATAGTGATTTTAGTGAATGGGATCATCTGGGTTTTTCACAATCTGCATTCTCCATTCAGTAATAGCCACTACTAGTGGTACATTGATAATGTTCTATCTGAATGAAATATCTGTATTGGGACATGGGATTGAAACAGCAAGAAAGCTGCTAGGATCAACCCCACATGACCAATTGGTGATAAAAACATCTGATTCATTTGTTGGATTGCTTTTATGTGTAATTGGGTTGTTGTTATTCATGGTATCTTTTGTTAAGGACAGGGAGTTTCAGGGCTTTTTTGCTAAGGGTTGTATCCTTCTTCATGTGGCAATGGGATTGTGGAGGGTTTATTTTGAGAGGAAGCTTGAGGATTTGGCTTATGATTGGCCAAGACAACTTGTTGGTGATTTTGTTCTGGCACTTTCTTGGGTGTTCTTTCTTGTTAATTCTTGGAGGGAGAAGTATGATTAGAGAAATTGCACAAGTGGAATTGCTATTTTGGGATGGTTATGCATTTGATTACTTAAAAAGATTGTTGTTTGGTGCAAATTGGAGGTACTTTTTCTGCCTGAATATTCATGTAAATAAAAGGGCTCACGAGATAAGGAATCCTTGATTTTTCCTTCTTTTTCTTTTATTGTATTCGAAGGGAGTCTTGGTGTAACGAGTAAAGTTGTCCTCATGTAATAAGGTCACATATTCGAGCAATGAAAACAGCCTCTAGCAGAAATAAACTGCGTACAATAGACTTTAGTGGTCCGGCCTTTACCCAAACCCCGCGCATAATGGGAGCTCCGTGCACCGGGCTGCCGTTTCTTTTGTTGTACTTGATTATATTTAGAAATGAAAGAAATGTGGCAATTTTGACACTTTTTAAGACTAAACTTCGACAAGGACGAATTTTTTTAGGTGTATTAGCTTATTGTATTTTTCTTTTGCTCAATTATCAAACCACATCAGTAAATCCAAGTTTAGAACATTTGATTCTGGATGGAAATCCCAACAGCCTTAGTTGGATCGCTATATCAGAAAAAGACTTCCTATGTAGTCCTAAGGCTGTTGGGATTTCCATCCATAATCAAATGTTCTAAACTTGGAAGACTTCCTATGTAGTCCTCCTTCATGTATCATGTATAAGAATAGTATTGAAGATGATGTATTACTAATATTAAGATTAATAATATTAAAATTTGTTATATTGGGATTAGTTATGCTAGAATTATTTCTAATCCGACAGTTAAGTTTGGTGTATTAAAAGTTTTGAAAGTACAATTATGTCTTTATATGTGCTTATTGGTATGTCAAAAATTATGATGCTACTAGTGACATGATATGCTATGTATAATAGTACGTACTGGTGTATAACTAATAATCCTATATACATAGGCTGATGCTTTCACGTCACTTCTTCTGCATATGTTAATGGAGTAGTGAATTTGTAGCTTTTGCGCTTCTTTTCCTTTTCTAAGCTTTTGTTTGTTTATTTGATATTTTGATGGAATAAAAAGTTAAAAGACTCACGGCCAAACCAACTCTCGAGTCTTTTCTAGGAGTATATATATGATAGAATACAATACTGTAGATGTTTCTTGTTCTGTGACTATTACTTTATTAATCAAATGGGAGTCGCTCAATTTGTCCTAGTTTATCAGATGCACAAATTTTCCTGTCTAAACAATGCAAGGACAACGTGCATCTTTTCTGTGTCTTTCTCTATCTCTTCTTCTGAATCCTAGACTAAAAAGCTACATGTAACAACATAAACTCAATAGATTGTGAGAAGAAACATTGAAGTTCAAGAGAGCTGGGAAAAAAAAAATCCTGAAGGCTTCATAGTTACTGCTTTCCTTTTTATTTTAACTCACCTACCTCACCCTTCCCGAATCCCGCATGAACGCGAGCTGTTTCGTGCACCGACCTGCTGTGTTGAAAGTTTGTCTTAGTTGAGATGCACACAAATTGGTCCGGACACCGCTATAATTAAAAAAGGGAAAAGGCTCAAAATTGCCCTTGTGTTCTTCAAAACGGCTTATCTGTACCCTCCGTTTGAAAATGAGGTCATGTATAACCTTGCCGTTAAACAAGTGGCCCACTGACACCCTTTTATACTAACGGCTCCGTTTTGGCCTATTTTTTCCTCAAAAAATCTATAGCACGGCATTAACCACCCTCCTTAATTTTTTTTTACTTGCCCCCTCACTTATTTTACCTACCTTCCCCAACACTTTTACCACAAAATTATTATTCATTAGTCTCTCATCTTTGTCGGAGCAAAGTTACTTTAACTTGATAATAAATGAGACCTAAATATTTGCAAATGAAATTGCACGTAATATAATTCAACTGGGCATAATTGACGTAAGACGGAGAAGGGTGGCCACTAGCGGTATTGGATTTGGCTTCTAGAATCAAAGCGTACTATCACACCATTCCTTGTCATGTCAAAGACTTCCGCTGCGTTTAATGCAAAATTGAGAACAACGTAATCACTATCTTCGTGTAGATCAAATATTTTTTTTTTTGGGTTAAATTTTATAATATGTATACTACTTTTTTACTTTCTAGATTCTTAGAATGGTGAAAGGCAAGAAGGAACAAAATGGGTAATGACAATGACCCATCTCGTGTGGAAGGGGTGGGGAAGGTACATAAAACAAGTAGGGGCAGGTAAAAAAAATTAAGGTGGGTGGTTTAGGAGGACAGTGTGGTGCTGCAGATTTTTCGAGAAAAAAAAAAAAGGCCCAAATCGGAGCTTTTAGTACAAAAGGATACTAGTGAACTACTTGTTTAACGGCAAGGTTAAACATGACCTCACTTTCAAACGGAGGATACAGATAAACCATTTCGAAGCTCACAAGGGCAATTTTGAGCCTTTTTCCGTTAAAAAATGATGTGTTTGAAAGTTGGCTTGCGAAATGCAGCACGAGGAATCTTGGACCACAAACAGACGTGAGAGTTCTCCAAAAGCAAAGGTTTCCAAAAGAGTGACAATGCCACCACTTATCTTTTAATTTTGGACCCCATCTCCAAAACCATGTCTTTTTGCCCATTCCTGCNAGATAATTAAAGATTTTAAGTTACTATTTGTGAAGCATCACTACACCTGCTATTCTATAAATGAATATTTTACTCCTAATATATACAAAGAGAGAGAACTGAAAGCGTATACAATGACACTAGTTGTGCAAAAATTTTCGTATACAATGGTTATAGATTATTGAGAGCTTAATGGCAGGATTTCTTTTAGTGGAAATTATCAGGTATCCAATAAATTTTTCCTTTGTATCTCTACTTTTTAGACGAACTGGCGTCTACCAAAGCTTTGAGAACATACATTGTTTGCCGCTAAAACAGAATCTTTTAGATGATACTCGTCTAAATATTTTTGAAAATTTAAGTTATATGCATTTGACGATATGAAAAATATTTACGCTATCGTATTATATTAAAAATAATTATAAGTAAATTTTTATGATAAATATTTAATAAAGTGCTAATCTATTATCAACAGTTAAAGATAATATAAATAATATTTACACTATTTAGTGTACTAACGCATTCAATTTTTCGGGGGAAGGTCGTTGCCATGTTTATCTAGGGCACAATAAGCGAGGTTTAGGCATACTCTTGTTAACTATATAATCTACTATTTGACTGTGAATTCTTCTTCTTGAACACGTTGCTTTATTTAGTGCTTAAACTGATAACTTAAGCAAACTATGTCAATCCTTTATTTTGCTCGTTTTAGTTAAGGAGATTTGAATTCCTTGATATCTATTCCAAAGGAGCTGAAAATTATTACAATTAATGGTAAGAAATTTTAACTCCTATAACAAACTATTATACTCTATTTATTATAAATCAAAACTATTTTAAAATATTATTATTTATAACTATCTTTTATATTTTATAGAAAAATAGATATTTATTGTATACCCTACCACATAGGCGTGAAATACGTTATTTATTTTTTTTCTCTCTTTCTTTCAGTTAACATACGTTCTCTCTCAAATCACACCAAGATATTTCTTTTTTCTCTCTCACACACCAAGATTGTAGGAACAAATTTCTTAGAATTGATTCTCAACGTTTTTGCTCCAAAAGTTCGTGGTAATTGGTAAAGCTTTTGGCCGGTTCACGCCAAATTACTCTGCCATTCTTCTTTTTCTCTTCACTTTTTTTTTTTAAAAAAAATTCGCTATTGTTAGGTCACTGTAATTGGCGTGATGCCAAATCAAGAGGTAAATACAGTGTTGCCATTACACGAGGTATACCCACTAAAGCACTCAATTTTGATCGTCGGCGTCATAATCCATTATTGGATCATCCTCTTAAGCGAACAGATCTGGCCATGGCTACGCCGAAGAAGATTTGAAGGCCGGATTTTGTTCGTCTCCACTTTTAATTTTAATACAATGTATACAGTATTTTGCTTGGCCGGAAAAAGTCATCTCCGACGAACTTTCTTCTCTTCTTTGCTTTTTTAGTCACATACAATAGTACAAATACATTGTATTATGTACAAATACACTCAAATACATTGTATTTTTGTATAAATATATTATTTTTTTGCCTATATTTATGTATTTCGAAGGTCTGCATTTTTTTTTTTTTTAATATAACCGAATATTATCGTGTTTTGTGATATTTTGTTATTTGAATACAGTCGAATTGAATACGGTGAATTGAATATAATGTATAATAGTGAATAATGAATATATGTGAATTGAATACAATGCATACAGTTGAATAGAATAAAACGGTATACACGTTATTTCTTGATTACGTCATTATATTTGTAAATACAATCACACCAGTACATGGAATACATCACATTAGTAGCGAAATTTATGTAGAATTGATTTTGTTGAGTTAAATTAGGAGTGATACACGCTAATTAATCATCTTTACGTTATTAAACAACTGGATTCACATATTTTTTAGGCGAATTCTGCTACTGTATTCATGAATACAGTAGCACGGATACAACGAATACAGTCGCACGACTGGACTCCCCTAAATTTTAGGCAAATTTTACTACTGTATTCATGAATACAGTAGCATGAATACAACAAATACAGTCGCGTAACAACTAAATAATAGCTACAGAAAATAATTATGTATATGATAACTATAGAAAGTTAATAACCTCTAAACAATAGCGATTTTTGAAAATTTCTCTCTTAATTGTATTAATCTTGGCAAAGTAGTCACTGGGTTAGCCCCATCCTATGATAATAATGTGGGACATAAACTAATAAATTATGATGCCAACTCTAGGAGTCCGTTTGGACATAGGAGTTTTTTCATTTTTTCGATTTCTTTTTAATTTTTTTTCGAAATCAATGTTTGGCCATAAAATTTCTAATTTTTTCTTAAAGATGAAACTTAGAATTTTTCAAAAATTTAAAAAACGCAGATCACTCACAAAACTTAAAAAACAATCCAAAATTATGTGGGCGTTTGGACATAAGAATTGTAAAATTCCAAAAAAAGTGAAATTATTTTTCAAGTGAAAATGGTATTTGAAAATTAGAGTTGTGTTTGGACATGAATATAATTTTGGGTTGTTTTTGAATTTTTGTGAGTAATATGAGTGAAAAGTTTGAAAAACAGTTTTTTGGAGTTTTTCAAATTTTTGAAAAATTCCAAAATTCATTTTCAAGTGAAAATTAAAAATTTTATGGCCAAACACTGATTTCTAAAAAAAAGTAAAATTTTTTCGAAAAAAAGTAAAATTTTTTTTAGGTCCAAACGGACTCTATATATTCATATTCAAACATAACTATAATTTTCATGTACCATTTTTACTTGAAAGAAAAATTCAGTTTCTTTTGGGAATTTTACAATTCCTATGTCCAAACGCACTAGGTTTTGATTGAATTGTAGGTTAGGTTTAAGATTCGATGCCTATATCCACAGGCTAAGTTTGTTTTTATGCATGAAAGATGAGTATATGTATTGAGTAATGTAGTTTCACCGTTTGTGAATTGTTTTTTAGACTTTAGATGTCCGTTGACTGAGAGAGATATCAAACTCTTGTTAACTTTTAATACTATTTTAAACTATCTTCTTTTAGGATTAATTTCATAGCTGAAAAGGTTTTTGTGACCTTATTTTCGTCGGACATTTCTTTTTGATAGCTGGATAACTTAGAAGGTAAAATAGATAATTTTCTTTTCCAATCACCTTTAAACTGACCGGATTTTGAAGTTCAAGAAAAAAACATTTTTATGCTATAGTTAATAAAAATATTTGATTTTGGACACAAAGTTAAAAGGCAAAAATAATTTTGTCACATTTTTCATTTTAGTAAAGAGGGGGTTGCACAATGTAAAAGCAAAAAAAGCTTCCACTGACACCACGCACTATCAAGCGCGTTATGCGTCGTTTGGGTAAAAAAGCATTCTAGTATTATCCCCTTGTTTACCAAACTGTCCACAAAACCAAAACAACACAGAATAGGTAGAAAGTGAAGAAAATAGAAAGCTATAGAGGGAAAAATCAAAGTCAAAAAAAGCCATCAAATCATATACCCAAAATCACCAATCTATGGCAGAAACCAAACAAGAAGAACCTTTACAACAACAAGAAAATCAATCAATAATCTCCTCTATGTTTCTCATAAAAATCATGAGCAAAAGGAGAACATGGGTATTTCTCTTTGTTTCCGTTTACACAATTTTATTATCAATTTCTTGGAATTTTCTTAAAACAGTGCTTTCTTGGTATGAATCCACTATGTCAAATTCCTCAACTTCAGCTTCAGCTGGTTGGCCTGCTTTATATGCATCTGTATTATTAGGTGTAGCTTTTGGGGTTTTGTCTATGGTAGCAGCTTTAGCTGTTGCAGTTCCAGCTACTTTAGTTACTTGGATTACAATTTTGGTTTTGTTGACTTTTGCTGGAAAACCGAGAAGGGATTTGGTTTTAGAAGGCAAGAAATTGACTGCTGATATTACTGGATTTGTTGTTAAGGTTTTGATTAAGGAAGGGAATGTTGTAGCTGCTTTTTGTGCTGTTCTTGGTTATTTTGCTCTTGTTAGAAGGAGTAAAGAAGATCGTGTTGTTGATTATTGACTTGAACTTGAAATTGGGCAATCAGGAACAAAACAGTTTGTAGAATTTTTATTTTTATTTTTGCTTTCTTATTTTTTAAGTTTATTTGGTTAGTTAGGATGTAATGTTCAAGTTATTTGGTTTTGAAGGGTAGCCTCTCCGTGAGACTTATAGATCACGGTTCGAATCGTGAAATCAACTATTGATGTTTGTATGCTTACGTCACATTATTTTAGGGTGCTATCTTTTTTCGAATCCTGTTTTAACACGGAATGATTTATGCACCGAAATGCCTTTTTGGTTAGTTAGGATCTCTTTGAGAAGCTGTATCTTAACAGTAGATTATCATAAATGTCTATGTATCATATAGTCCGTGAACTGGATTCAATTATGCTGCTCGAGTAATTTCTTTTTGTTTTTGGTTATTATTTGTAATGTACTAAAAGAAGAAAGTCTTGTGACCTTCTTTATGGAAGTTGTGGACCAGAGGTCATTGATATTGATTTGTGATTGGCCATTTAAATTTTCAATCTTTTCTTTCTTGGATTCTGGAGTATATCTTTGAGTAAGGATTGGTTGAATGAACAAGCAAGGCATGTGTTAAAAAAGTGCAATATCTGAAGGTATGCCATGTCTTAAATCTTACAACAACCATGTGACCTCAAAATGAGGTACGAGGATAGTAGTCTGTATGCAAATCTTATTCTTATCTTGAAAGGGTAGATAGTATGTTTTCGATAAACCGTCTGCTCAAGAAGGAAAAAAAGAAATAGTATAAACAAGTATTACCAACATGAAGTGCCAAAAAGATAATCACAGTAAACTAAGAGCTAGAAAATAAATGGAAGGAAGTAGTAGCAACAAGCATTAACCACAACAAGAAACTAAGAAACCAACGCAAATGGTAATAGGAAAACATGTAAAATTAGCAATCTAAGAACAAGAAAACACTACCAAACTAACCCTAATTCCCCTGTACGGATCAAGAAGTGCTCGACTCTCTACTAACCTCATATCCTAATTCTCGACTTCCACACTATTCTATCAAGGATCATGTCCTCGGTAAGCTGAAGTCGCGTCATGTCCTGCTTGATTATCTCTCCCCAATATTTCTTTGGCCCCTCTCTACCTCTTCTCATACCTGCCAAAGTCAATCACTCACACCTCCTTACTGGGGGCGTCAGGGCTTCTTCTGTTCACATGCCCGAACAATCTAAGCCTCGCTTCCATCGTCTTGTCTTCCACTGGGGCCACACCCACCTTTACCTAGATATCTTCATTCCTAATCCTATCCAAATTGGTATGTCCGCACATCCATCTCAGTATCCTTATCTCCGCTACTTTCATCTTCTAGGTATAAGAATTCTTGACTGTCCAACATTTTGTCTCATACAACATAGTATGTCTAACCACCACTCTGTAGAGCTTGCCTTTACGTTTTGGTGGCACATTCTTATCACGCAAAACACCAGACGCTAGCCTTCATTTCATCTACCCTGCTCCGATATGGTGTGTGACATCCTCGTCAATATCCCCATTCTTTTGAATAACTAACCCGAGATACTTGTAACTTTCTCTCTTGGGGATGACTTGTTAATCGAGCATCACATTCGTGTCCGCTTCCTCCGCACGTGCTGAACTTGTATTCTAATTATTCAGTCTTAGTTCTGCTCAACTTGAAATCTCTAGACTCTAGGGTTTGTCTTCACACCTACAGCTTGTCGTTAACACCGCTCCACGTCTCGTCGATCAGTACTATGTCATCTGAATAACATACACTATGACACCTCCCCTTGAATGTGGCGCGTCTGTGCATCTATCGCCAAGGCAAATAAAAATGCGCTACGCGCGGATCCCTGGTGTAACCCCATCGCAACCTGAAAATGATCCGAGTCTTCTCCCACTATCCTTACTCACATCTTAGCTTCATCATGCATGTCCTTAATCACTCTAGTGTACGCCACAGGAACACCCTTGGCCTCAAAACATCTCCATAGTACCTCACTTGGGACTTTGTCGTACGCTTTCTTTAAGTCGATAAACACCATATGCAAATCCTTTCTCCTTTCCTTGTACTGTTCCACCAACCTCCTAACAAGGTGAATAACTTCCGAAGTTGAACGTATCGACATGAATTCGAACTGGTTCTCAGAAATAGACACCATTCTCCTAACTTTTACACCACCCTCTCCCAATCTTTCATAGTGCGGCTAAGCAACTTAATACCCATATGGTTGTTGCAATTTTGAACGCCACTTTTATTCTTGTACAATAGAATCATCGTACTCTACCTCCATTCTTCACGCATCTTCTTCATCCTAAAAATAATGTTAAACAACTTAGTGAGCCATTCCAAGTCTGCGCTACCCACGTTCTTCCAAAAATCCACTAGAATTTTATTTGGCCGGGTCGCCCTGCCTCTTCTTATCTTATGCATAGCCGTCTCGACTTCCTAAATTGTAATACGCCTACATTACCCAAAATCATGAATACTCCCCGAATATGCCAAATCACCCAACTCAATGTTCCCGTCCCCCTATTCATTCAAGAGTTTATGAAAATAAGTCTGTCATTTTCGTTTAATTTATGCCTTTTCTATCAGGATTGTGCCCTTCTCGTATTTAATCCACCTCACTTAGTCCAGATCACGTGCCTTCCTTTCTCTCACCTTGGCCAGTCTAAAAAGCTTCGTGTCCCCACCTTTATCCCAAGTTGCTCATACAAACGACTAAAACTGGAGCCTTAGCCTCTATGATCGCTAACTTCACCTCCTTCTCAGCATTCTTATTCCCTTCTTTGTTCTTCCTCTTCTCCTTCTCGTCTAATCTCTCCGCCACCTTCAAATATGTCACTTTCTTGGCTTTCACTTTTCTTTTGACCTCTTCATTCCAACTCCAGTCCCCATAGTGACCACCAGGGTAACACTTCGAGAGCCCTAGAACCTCTCTCGCTGCTTCCCTAATGCATTTTGCTATCGTGTCCCACATACCACTCGCGTCACTACTACTCATCCAGGCTCCCAAAGACATCAACTTCTCCCCCAATTACTGAGCTTTGGCCTTAGTCAAGACTCCCCACCTAATCTTTGTCGACCCCACACCACCCTCTTCCTCATTTTCCTTATGATCCTTAAGTCAATCACTAAGAGCCTATGATGTGTCACGAGATTCTCACTCGAGATAACCTTGCAATCCATGTAGAGGCCTCCGTCACTCTTTCTAAGGAGTAGATAGTCAATTTGGGTCTTAGCCACCACACTTTGGTAGGTGACCAGATGCTCTTCCCTCTTCTGAAAGCTAGAGTTCGTAATCACCAAATCAAAAGCTCTGGCGAAATTCAAAAGTAAAGTCCCTCCACCGTTCCTCTCCCCAAAATCGAAGTCGCCATGCACTTCATCATAACCTCCATCAGTCCTCCCAATGCGGCCATTGAAATCCCCTTCTATGAATATTTTCTCGGTGGGCATAATACCACGCGTAACCTCGTCTAGACCCTCCCAAAAATTCCTTTAACCACCTCGTCCAAGCCCATTTGAGGTGTGTAAGAACTAATAATGTTTAAAGTAAACCCTCAAACAACTATCTTAATAGTCATCCGCCTATCGTTCACCCGCCTAACATCTAGTATTGACTCCCTAAGTTCCCTCTCCATCAGAATACATACTTTGTTCCTACCCCTCACGCCTCTTGAATACCACAATTTATACCCATCTGCATCCCCAACCGTAGTCCCCACCCACTTAGTCTTCTGGACACAAGCTATTTTGACCTTTCTCTTCTGGTGAATTTTTAACAACTCTATAGATTTTCTGTCAAAGTCCCTATGTTCCAAGACCTAATTCTTAGCCTAGCAACACCATTGATCCCCTTACTGCCCTTGCCTCCCGTCCCTTCCTCCCACCCCACCCGAGGACATTGGCCTCACTCTACCACCATAGACCACAACCATAATAATTTACGATAAACTAGGAATCGCTAGCAACAACAACAACAACCTAGTGAAATCCCACAAGTAGGATTTGGGAACGGTAGTGTGTACGCAGACCTTATCTAAACCCCGAGGGAGTAGAGAGGTGGTTTCCGATAGAATCTCGGCTTAAGAAGATGAATACTAGGAATCGCTAGAAAGTGGTAATATGCAAGATAATAAGCTACAACTATAAGAACCTAATCAAGACACCAAATAAGCACACTAGTAATATGCCTAAACTAACACGAAATTTTCTTAACTAAAAAGAGTGAGAGGGAATGGGTCGACAAGTGGGCAGGTGGTACGAACTCCCGCGAAAAAAAAACCTGGAATAAATTGTAGAGTATGTGACTTTGATACGACACTTGATGCGTTAGCTTCCCACTTGCCACTGCCTTGTGACACTAACCTATTCGCCTCACGCTCGTCTCCAAAAGCCATTGCTATGTACCTAAAAAACAAAAAACAACAGCGCGGCCAAATCATAGGGAAATGGGGCAATGTCACCATTACCACTGTTGACAACAGTGTTCTGGGAGTGTGGGATGCAATGAAAAAGAACATTGTAGAANCGCTGACGGTGGTGGGGGATGATCAGATCTGACTATTAGAGGAGGATAAGAAGAACGAAAAAAGAGAGACTGGCAGGGAGACTGCGCTGGTATTTAATTAATGCAAGTTTATACAATATTTCTATTTCAGAATTGAATATATTATAATTGAAAAAAATATATATTTAAAGAACATGTTCAAGCGTTTAAGATAGAATGTCCAAGTTTTTTCAACATAGTTATTCGATACTTACACTAGTAGAAGGTAAAAGTATTCAGTGAAATAATTGAGTTGCGTCCAAAGTACATTCTTAATTTTACTATTAACGTCTATATTAACACTCTGGAGTCATGAAAATTAATAATTAAGGATCAATCACCATTCTCCACTTGCTTGTTTGACAAACAAGAAAAGAAAAAGAAATTAGAATCCTATTCATCCAATCTTCTCCACTCTCAGCGTTTCCTTGCTTCTCATGCTCTTCATTCTTTGTGTCCAGTGGTGGATCTAGAGCATTATATACAGGTTTTTGGAAATCCAGTGACTTTTGCATAGATTCTGTATTTATATTCAGAAATTCACTAAATATTTATAAATATCTAACGGTGAACCAAGTTATTATTGCATATTAATTTGGGATTAAGGTAGAAGCCTCTAAATATCAAATCCTTGATCCGCTTCTATTCCTGCCCCTTTATGTAACGACTCGACCGGTCGTTTTGCTTTCTAAAACCACGTTTCCCTAAATAAGACTTCCCGTACTTGCTTTTACTGATTTATGACATGCGGGGATGGTTGGTTCGAGATTTAGAAGAGTTTGGTTGAAATCGGAACACTTAGTTCCTTAAGGTTGGCTTGAAATGCCAAGTTTGACTTTGGTCAATATTTTTAGTAAATGACATCGGAATAGGGATTTGACGGTTCCAATAGGTTCGTATGCTGATTTCAGACTTGGGCGTATGTTCGGATCGGGTTTTGGGTG